AAATAATAATATTTATATTTACCAGTCAACAGTTAGAAAATGTTCTCTGGTTATAGGATGAAACTTGTAATATTTAATAGTTTGTGTTAAATTGTAGCATGATTCAACAGAGCTAAACTCTGTATATATGCTCCACAAGCTAATATCTGCTAACCAGTTCAATAACTAACAGTGATTACATGGACTTTATAAGATTATTTAAATTTTAAACTGTTACATTATGTTCTGCTCAGATCACATTGAGCTAAATAAGATCAAATCTGCTGACTTGTGTTGTAAAATGAGACGTTTTCCTTTTTATCTTCTGTTAATAAATCCATAACACAAACATCTTTTCTGACATTATTTAAAACATTAGATAGATTATATAAACTGTAAAATATTAATAATAATGGGGGTTAATATTATTATTAATAGGTTTTATGATTTCTACATCGTCAGTCCTTTTTTATCTGCTCTGTTGTYAACATGTACAGTAATGGGAAATCCAGAGTCTTGACCGTTTTGTGTTAGCCGTTAGCTTCTCCAGCCGATCACAYGGTCACCTGGTTTCTGCACACTCCAGCTGTTCTATATAAACTCCTTGGTCCAGACCCTCTGAATGAAACAAAGTACAAGGCAATGGGCAGGTTTTTAACAGGCTAACCAATTTCATAGTCTTAATTCTCGTCTCGCTTTGGGTCAGACTCTGCCTCCACGATTTATAGCTGGATGGACAAGTCTTCCCTTGTTGACTTTTTTTATTGATTTGTAAATAAAGTTTCTGTTCCACTATATAGTCACATTTTTGCTACCAAACTACAATAAAGGCCTTGTTTGGATTTAAAGAGATAGCATCAAAATGAGTTAATCTAATATACACTGCCAAAAAGGGGTGAAAGAGGGGCTTGTGGAGTTACAATAAGAAGGAATTCAGACCAAAGAATTGCAGTTCCACTTAAATAGACCCCGACTGAATGATTTAAACATTAAAAAGAAGGATTTAAAAGCATGTGTCTCCTTTAATGTGTCCCTATGTGAACGGTTTGTCTGTCATTCGTCTTTATGTGTCCTTGTGATGGACCTGTTCAGGTGTCCCCTGCCTGTCTCACAGTGATCACTGGAGAGACCAGAAAAAGAAAAAGTGAGTGGATGAATCATGCATGGGATGAACAGTTTTACTTGCGTTACCTGTCAGACAGCCTAATATTATGGCTTACCGGCATCTCTTTCTAAGATTTGATGATGATGTTACTTAATGCACCTTTTCTCTTTTATTTTAAAATTTCTCTTCCTCATTCTAAAACTGCATATTAAATTATTATCTYGCGTTAAGCTGTGCTAAATGACTACCAGCCAAATTCAAAGCTTTTATCTTTTAGTCCTGTTTAATACTCCAAACATATCTAACTGCCTCATTTTGTCATAAGTAGTGCTATAGCTACT